GCAGCGGCGGAGGCGGCGGCGGCCATGATGATTGTGTACAATCTGCTGCGGGGCACGCCGGGAAACGCCCCGCCCGCGGCCGCCCTTTTGGGCCGAGCCGGCTGCCGTTCAGCGCCCCGCCCACCCCGGGCCAGGCGATTGGCTGAGAGGACCCGGGCGGAAGTAGCTCCCGCGGGGCGGCGGGATGGCGCGCGCGCTGCGGGCGCTGTGGGGCGCGGCGGGGCCGGAGCGGGGCCCGGGACCGCGGGTACGGTTCGGGCCCAGCCCCACAGGTAACCCCCGCTCCCCTCCCCCCCTGCGGGCTTTGGGTTGGAAAACGTGAATCGAAACACACCAGGAGCGGGGAGGCTGCCGGTGCCGGGCGCTCCGCTGAGGTACCCGCTGCCTCTGCCGAGGGAAGGGAGCCCCCACTCCCTCCCGGGTTGGAGCCGCCCGGTCAGTGTGGAAATAAAGGCGGCTCAGCTGCAGCCTGTCGCGTCGTGTCAGGAATAAGGGAAAGTTATTTGGTGCTTTCCCGTGGAAGATCAGTTCTGGGCTCCCCAGTTCAAGAGAGACAGGGAACCGCTGGAGAGAGTCCAGGGTAGGGCAGCTGAGACGGTGGAGGGACTGGAGCACCTCCCTTGTGAGGAAAGGCTCGAAGAGCTGGGGCTCTTTAGCCTGTAGAAGAGAAGGCTGAGGGGAGACCTTATCTATCTATACAAGTACCTAAAGGGTGGGTTCAAGGATGACGGAGCCAGACTTTTCAGTGATTCCTGCTGACAGGACAAGGGGCAACGGGCACAAGCTGGAACATGGGAAGTTCCACTCAAATACGAGGAAAAACTTCTTTCTGGTGAGGGTGTCAGAGCCCTGGAACAGGCTGCCCAGGGAGGTCATGGAGTCCCCTTCTCTCTTCAAGCCCCACCTGGATGCAGTCCTGAGTGATGTGCTCTGGGCAACCCTGCTTTGGCAGGGGGATTGGACTAGATGATCTCTGGAGGTCCCTTCCAACTCTGACAATTCCATCAAACGGTATTTCCTGCCACATGCCAGCTTAGAGCTGGTTCCCAGTTCGCTCCAGGGAATACGCTCTTGGAAGGCAGTTACCGATAAGTTAGTTCCATAGCAAAGACCTCCAAAGCCAATTAGTGCCCGTGCAGCACACCCCCCTGCCCCCCCCAGTTAGCCTTTGATATCAATTCCCACGACAGGTGGCATTCCCCCTTCCAGTTCATATTTTAAAATCTCTTTTTTGGGCCTTAATTATTATTATCTCCTCTGATTTCCACACGATAACAGGTTTTCTGCATTTGGGTGGCCTTCGCACTGCTTTGTACAATTACATTTTTGCCAAAAAGCACCAAGGGACCTTTATTTTGAGAGTGGAGGATACAGATCAAAATCGAGTGGTGCCTGGAGCTGCGGAGGGAATAGAAGATATGCTGGATTGGGCAGGTATTTACAAATGTCTGTCGTTTCTTAACCCGCTGAGAAAGATCAAACTTTGTGAAAGTGGCCCAATGTGCAGGTGTAACAAAGGTTGTGCCCGAGGGACGTGATGGAAAGGTCAGAAGTTGGAGCTCGCAGACCTCACTGTCAACTGGTAGATTGTCTGTATAGGGAGTACTTGCTAAAGGGGATCTGGAGGTGTCAGTTTGCATTTTGAATCCTCTGCTTCTTTTTGAGCTTAAGAACTAGAAGTGAGGGTGGTTTTGGAATGAACAGTTGTCATAAAGTTAGAGCCAGATCCCACAGATGCTGCCGTTAATGGGTAGGTGAGCTTTAAGGGCCTAGGACTTTGCTGTTGAGTAATATACTTTGAGGTAGGTAAAATAATTGGCTACAGTCTCAACTGTATTTTTGTGGTATGAGTGTTCTTTACTATAAAAAGGGTAGGTGATACTTTGTGTGTGTACACCTGACTGCATTTTGCTTTAAGTGGTGTATCAGAGCTGCTCAGCTTTTTATGAGGTTTTGGGTTTTTTCTGTTTGTTGATTCACACACAGCACTGTAAACTCTGATGATGTTGGCTGCTGTTTACCTTCTGAGTCCAGGGGAGTCTGAGTCCTGTGCTAGCCAGATGCCATCAGCTGGCTGCCCTGGAGCAGAAACTGTCTTTGTTTCATCTTCATTCGTCCCTGTTTCATTTTCATTCGTTGTGCTCCATTGATGGGTTTTGCTCTGCCTTTTTATGGCCTTTCTAAGTCCCACCATACTGATATTTCAGGTATTCCCCCCGATGAGAGTCCTCGCCGTGGTGGTTCCTTCGGCCCCTACCAGCAGTCACAGAGGCTTGACCTTTATAGGAGCGCCAGCGACGTGCTTTTGGAGAGCGGGGCGGCGTATCGCTGCTTTTGTACCCCTCAGCGCCTGGAACTGCTGAAGAAGGAGGCTTTGCGGAGCCAGCAGACCCCGCGGTAGGGATTCCTTGTCCCCTGGGTGGTTCCTTCTGTGCTGCATGCTTGCAAAAACTTACGACAACGTACAGGGCAATAGGGTTGTCATCTCGCTGCCTGTAGAGAGAAGCCAGCGTAATCCTTACAGGCTTAGGGGGAGTGACCCCCAGAGATGAGGTAGTTTGACTGGACATATAGTGGGAAGGTTACAACTAAAATTTAAGGATTGATTTAGAGTTTTGGGGATGTGGAAATGGTTGGTGGGGTTGGCCTGTGTTGAACTGAGACCTTCGTTTTCCTTTCTCAAAGATATGACAACCGGTGTCGGCACCTGACGCCCACAGAAGTGGCTGAGAAGCTGTCACAAGGCCTTGACTGGGTAGTCCGCTTCCGGCTGGAGAAGGGGGTGGAACCCTTTCAGGACCTGGTCTATGGCTGGAACAAGCACGAAGTGGCTGACGTGGAAGGTGACCCAGTGATTCTCAAGGGGGATGGCTTCCCCACTTACCACCTGGCCAATGTGGTGGATGACCATCACATGGGCATCAGCCACGTTCTGCGCGGAACTGAGTGGCTGACTTCGACGTCCAAGCATCTCCTTCTCTACAAAGCCTTTGGCTGGGATCCCCCTCAGTTTGGTCACCTCCCACTGCTTCTGAACAAAGACGGTGGCAAGCTGTCAAAAAGGCAGGGGGACATTTTTCTGGAGCGTTTTGCTCGGGATGGCTACTTGCCAGAGGCTCTGCTGGACATCATCACCAACTGTGGCTCTGGATTCACAGGTAACGACAACAGGCTCGATACTTGCTAGGACACTTCTTGATGCTGACTTTAGGGAATGGGTTAGGTTTATTTTAGTAGCCAAGATCTCTGAAAGCTTTTGAAGGGATCAGGAAATAATCATGACCAATCTGTCACTGAAATGCCACTGGGGCATCTGCAGAGCTCCTGTGAAAGACTGGGTGGTGTGCTGGAAATGGTGGGAATCTTTCTGCCCCTGCAGCCATTTAAAACGAGTCTGATGCTTAATGGGTTCCCATCTGGGACAACATTCATCTCAAGGAGAAGAAACTGTCTGCGAACTCTTGGGAAAACTTGTATGCTATGGTTAATAATTGCAATGTCGTGTATTACATCGGTCGCGCTTCTTGTTTAACCTGAAAGACCATGTGAAGTTGAGTCAATGACTCCTTTTGTTGTTCTTGCTGTGTGGGGATCACAAATTAACTTGTGCTTTGGGAACTCTGCTTGGGAATGAAACCTCTCTTGGGCAGTGGAGCCTCCTGGCTGAGTGTTACTGCTTTTTGGGTGACTGATGCAAGGGGTGTTCCACTGAAGAGCCAAGCAGAGCGACCCGGTTTCCAGTTGCTCGCCAGTAGTTAGCAGGGCCTGCTCTTAGGGAGAGGGCAGCTTCTCATGCATGCCTGCTACAAGTTCCCTCCTGTTTTTTGGGATACATCCCTGTTAACACAGCGAAAAGTGTCTCTCCTGTGTCACTTCTTCCTTGGCTGTGCTGCTGTCCCAGCCTGGAGCCTGAGGCTTGCAATGACAAGCAGCGACGGTAGTTCCCTGCAGAGGAGTGGGTGTGTATCATTCCCTTGTTGGGTTATTTTGCAGAGAAACAGATGGGGAGGACTTTGGAGGAGCTGATCCCGCAGTTTGAAATAGGCAGAATCACAACCCATTCTGCTCTCCTGGATCTTGAAAAACTCCCAGAATTCAACAGGTATAAATATCAGTGGCAATTTTAAAATTAATAATTCTCATCAGTGAGGATTTATTCCTAGCACTTGGCTTTGTCTGGCAATTTTGTTTATTGGCTCAAGCGTGGTCCTAGCGCAGTGGCTTTTTGGCTGTGTTAGAGCAAAATGTAAGTTCACACTGTTCCTGTTTCCTCTCCCGTCCTGTGCTTGGACACTGGTGTTGGGTGCACTCTAAAAGCCTGGGCAGATGGTGTGTAGCAAAGAGGATGCAAAGTTTTAAGTTTAGATTCAAAATAACATCTAAAGAGGCAACACTTCCAGAGGGAACTTCTGCACTCATGCGCTACGGGGATGTTGTGCTACTGAGAGTGACTGCATCTATGTCTGTCTGGAGTTTATTGTTGCTTTTCTAATAGTTTTAATTGGTTAATGTCATGAGATTGGGATGATTAGATTTAATCTAACCCCAAACCAGTCCAAAAGCAGTTTTCTTCTTTGTTACAGGATTCACCTCACCCGTCATATTGAGCATGAAGGACTGCGACAGAAGCTAATTAGAGAAGTGCAGTTGCTGGTGGAGCACGTCTATGGAGATCAACAAGTGGATCAAGAGGTTCTAGAAAAGGAGTATGTGGAGCGAGTCCTCCTGCTGAGAAAAGTATGACCAGGGATAGCATTGCGTCACCGTTCTGGGGAGTTTAGGTTTTGTGGGATTCCTGGATGAAGACTCAGCTGAGTCCTGGGCACTGCTTTGATCTGAGCTGTGAAGCTCCGCAGGCTGCAAATGGCTGTCGCTGCCAGCTCAAGGGGTTGTGTGTGTGCTGAATGCCAAAATCACAGAATCATAGAATCATAGAATGGTTTGAGTTGGAAGGGACCTTAAAGATCATCGAGTTCCTACCCCCCTGCCATGGGCAGGGACACCTCCTGCTAGACCAGGTTGCTCAAAGCCCCATCCAGCCTGGCCTTGAACACCTCCAATTATATAGTTAGCTGATCTGTAGGAACAGGCATGGTGGTCTTTGCAGAGTTGTAAGCTCATCCATACTTTGCTGAGCCAGCAGAGGGAAGACATGTCCCTGCTGTGGAAGCGAATCATAGACTTGTAGGATATTTCTTGGAGACCTCTCTGGTCTCCATAGCAGGACTGTCAATGGTGTGGGATCAGGTCAGCTGTGGCTTTGTCTAGGTAAGTGGTGACAAGCTCCAAGCTGTGCTTCTCCTCCTGAAGCCCAGGATGCGGCTGGCTTGAGATGGGAAGGTCCAGGGCCCCTCATGCCAGGAGACTGCTCACCTCTAGCTTCTGGGCAGCATAAGGTGCTTCTGCTTTGCTGCTGCTCCACACTTTGGAAGCAAAGTCAAAGCAACCTCTAGTGGGGTTTGTGCATTGGGAGCCCTGGTCTCAGCTAAGTGACAGAGTGCCAGCTGTAAGGGGGACAGAAGATATTGTGGCTCTTCCCAATGCCAGGAAGGAGGGTGAGCCCCGCTGTTTCCCAGTCTGCCCTTGGGATGCTGCTGTAGTATCTTGAGGACTTGGCTTGTGAAGAATAAAGCCTTCTTTATAAGGGCAGGAAGAGACCCGGCAGTTCCAGCGTGAAGGCTTTGCTGTGGCATCGGGACGGTGACTCATGTGACTGTGTCTGTGGCAAGGCAGCAGATGAACATGGGCAGCCACTTCCCCGGGCTAACTCTGACTCAGCTCGCACGCGGCTCTGCAGCACAAGCACAGCAGTGGCCCTTTGGGCTGCTTCTGCCTCCCTGCTCACACCAGCTGGTTCTGGGTGTGAAAAACTCAGCCACCTAAATGTCAGCCATTCGCATTTCCTCTGAGCAGTACGAAGTACAAGATGGTGGTGTGTTTGGACCCACCTTAACTCTTTGTGAAGTCCAGAGAGGATGTGTTTGTTCCCTCCAGCTTAACCCTCAGCCGTAACAGCTTTGCTTTCTTTCTCCAGGGTCACATAAGCTTCCTGAAGAATCTGGTGTCATCTGATTATTCTTACTTATGGGTTAGGCCCTCGGTGTCCCGAGAGCAGCTACAGACTATTTCTGCAGAAGTAGATGAAATAGGAAAACTAGTCTTAGGGTAAGTGTCTCTTCCCAGCTCTGTAGACACCCACCTTGCCTGCCCCAGAGCATTGCTCTTGGCTGCTGTATTGATGTTGGACATACTTATAGTTCTTACTTAATTTCCTCTACTTTGGAATGTGCAGCAGTTAATAACCAGTGAGAAATTCTGTGTTTTTAATTGAAAAGTAGCTTGCCAGCGGGAAAGCTCATATCAATGCTCTCAAGCAAGAATTATCACGTCTGGATTTTGTAAAGCACCCAGCACAGCTGAGTTTGTGTGCCAGCACAGTGCAAACAAAGCAGTGGTGTTAGCAGGGTGTTCCCATGCCACCACATCTCCTGTGCTTTTGCCTGTTGTAGCATCAAACTGGAGAAGTCCAAGGTGGTTTTCATCAGCTGTATTGAGTTTATGTAATGAGACTGCTGGGTCTCTGGAATGAACCCGCGTTGTGTCCAGCCAGAATCACTGTCACTTTTGAAGAGCTTGTCCCTGGGGGGCTTTTCCTGCTTCCATTTCTTTGGCCCTGGCTAGCAGCCTGCAGTTCTGTCTGCTCAGAAACATTGCTGGAATGGCAGTCTGCCCAGTCTAGGACTTCCCCTCTACTCCCCAGTGAGTTTGGGGGGGGACTTCCAAGGAGTTTCAGTGCTGCCCTGCGTCTCTCTGCTACTCCATGCCTTGCAGCGAGGCAGGGTGGTATGTCAGTTGCCTTTCCAGTTCAGATCTCACCTCTGGTCTAAAATGAGCTCTGGAAACCAGTTTTGACAGTAATTAAGGTGGCAGTATCTACAAATTGAGCTATTATTCCCAGCTATTTGTAAAGCTTGTTGCCCTTAGTCATTTCTCACAGCTGAGTGGGAACTGAACCCAAGTGATGGTATTTTAAATGTCAGATCACTTGCTATCCTGGATAATAGTACTGCTACCTACGGCTGAGTAGTATCAGCGATGGCTGCTGCATCTCTAAAAATCATATTATTAAAAAAGAAATCAGACTTACTGCTTTTGCCATGGTTTTCCTGGTCTTTGGCAGGATTATGTGATTTAAACTTGATGCTTGTTTTTCTGAACAAGCTCTGCTCCAGGTGCTGTTGAAGTGAAGGCATGGTTTTGCAAAGCAGAGTCTTAGCAGCAGTATCGAGGCAAAGCAGCTCCACCTCGGAGGGTGCCCGTGAACACCAGCAACGCTGCAGTGAGCAGAGGGAGTGCCCTGGTGAAGGGCAAGAGAGTTTACTTTGAGCTGCTGCTGTTGCCAGAAGATTTTGCAAAACCTGTCTGAGGCAGCTGGCACTCACTGGGTCATTTCTGGGTAGGAATCCTGTGTTTTGTACGTCCCCAGATTGTAAGGACGTTTTCTTTTCCTAAAGGCTTATGACAAGGCAGGCAGCTGTTTTGACTGTGGAGGAGCTGAACAAAGACTTGAGAAGCCTCCAGAAGCAAACCAAAGAGACTAAGTACAGCAGTATGATGAAGCTCCTTCGCTTGGCTCTCAGTGGTCAACAGGTAAAAAATAAAAATTCTCAGACTGGGCCTTTTTTTTTTTTTTTTTAAAACACCTATCTTCTCTCTGATAGCAAGATACTGGTATTTGCAAGAATTGACATCAGTTTCTCTTATGAGTGAATGTATCGATACCCAGCGATTCCGGAAGAAAAGGCCTTTCTGAAAGTTTCAGAAAGGCAGAAGTTGTCAAAGCACGAATATGCTGGTCACAAACCCGATGTTAGAAAAACCTCTGGACCAGCTATAAGGAGTGTTGGCAAGGTTGTAGGTTTTGGGCAAAAGACCGGATTTTATGTGCAATCTGCTTTTGCAAAGTTCAAAACAACGTTCTACCAAAGTTTTGCAAAGCTTTATCCTGGCTTAGGCTCTGGCATCAATGCTTCTGGGTCAGTTCAACCATTCTTAGCACTTCAGGAGGGAAAAAAAAAACAACCCTCGTTTCGAGATTGCTAATAAAACCCCTGCCCTTGGTCTAACAGCAATCTGATAGCTAATCACTCTGTCATTTCCGCCATGATGATGCATATCGTAAGCACGTGCTGAAAAGTGTAAGTTTCCATTTGTACAATGACTTCTTCTATGTTTTCAGCATGGACCGAGCGTTGCTGAGATGATGGTGACTTTGGGACCCAAAGAAGTGTGTGGAAGAATACACAAAGCACTGTCTAGCTAACATGAGACAGAAATGATACCGACAGCCAGCCCGTGGACTCTGGTGTAGGCAGCATGTGTGATTGTCCTAGACCTGTGTTTTTTGATCTCAACATGATTAACTTTGATCAGATGAGCTGGGCTTTGGACAGGGCAGGTGTCACCATGGTGTTTCCAGGTCTGTGTGTATCTGCACTAAGCATAAGCCAGTTTGTCTGGGAGAAGAACGAGATGCAGACTTAGGTCCATCCTTCTGCTTTCACCTTGTGCAAATAGCCTGGTTTCCAGGTTGGGAGAAAGAGACGTTTATCAGCATTTAAATTCAGACCATGTGGACAGAAAGTAATGCTATTTGTGATACCAGCTCGTCTGGTGGCTCGTCTCAAGTGATTGGTCCCTTTTTGGAGAGGGCGTCGCAATCAGGGTGCCTACAGCTACGACTACACAGGTCTCCAACACGTACTGTGGGGAGGATGTTTTTATAAATAAATATATATATGAGATATAATATGTGTATTATAGCTGCTGCCCTGGTGTCCGCCCGGCTGATTGAGCTGCTTGGAGAGGAAGGACTCTCCTCCGTGTGTACTGTATCATGCACGTGGTTCTGCTAAAAATATCTCCGACCAGAAGATTGGGATGTTTTTTTTCCTCTTTTGGACGCTGACCTTTTAATTATTAAATTAACGTGGTGACTTTTGATTCCCTTCTCGCCAATGCGCGCTCGCTCTGCGCGCCCGGGAGGGGAGGAGCAGCCAGAGGAGGGGTGGTGGTGGTGGCAGCAGCAGCAGCGAGGAGGAGGAGGAGGAGGCAGGGGGGTGTTTTACCAACCCACGCCCACAGCCTTACGCTTCCACGCCAGCCAAAAAAACTCGCGTGGGCTTCCCACTGGGGACGAGCGGCCAACACTCCAAGGAGCCACGGAGGGTGGATCTGTTTCCTGCTGACGGCAGGGTGGAGAAGAGCAAGAGTCCATGGCTGGCACCGGGGAGCTGGAACGGTGGCTCAGTGAGTGGGGCTGGGGGCTGGGGG